CTTTCACCTCCTCTTCCCTGTGATACTCATTCTTGGGATCCAGCTACCAGGACAAGGAAACTTGAGAAACTGTGAGAGAGTCCCACACAGACAAGAAAGGAATCTCCTGGCCTTCAGCCCCCACTGAACTCCCACCTACCAGCCATTACCAACTTGCCAGCCATGTGAATGACCCTTGTTGGGAGTGGGTCTTTATAATTCAAAGTCAGACCACCCCAGCTGATGCTGAGTGGCACAGATTCCAACCTTCCTGCTAGGCCTGCCCAAATTACGGATGTGTAAGCAAACTAACCACTGTTGTTGTTTTAAGTCAGTACATTTTGGGTTGGTTTGTTATGTGGCAATAGCCCCCGAAACAAATATTTTGGCCCAGAAATGACACGCATCACTCTATTCAGAGCTCAATGGCTAAAACTAACCATGTGGCTTTGTCTAACTTCAAGGGGACTGGGAAATACATGTGAAGCATGTGGAAATTTGGCAAGCAGTCTATGTTTCTACCGCAGAGTTTAAGTAAAACCTCTTTGACAAGGTAACATTTGAGCAGAAATCTGAATAAAGACAGAAGCTAGCTATGCAGGTATCTGAAGAAAAAACAATAGAGGGAGAGAAGCAAACAAGTGCCGAGGCTCTGGAGCGTTGAGGTAGGAATTTGCCAAGTGCTCTTGGTTCCTTCAAGGAGAAGCAAGGAGGCCAGTGTGGCTGGAATCCAGTGAGTGAGGGAATGGAAGAAAGGATAAAGAAGGTAAGTAAGGTTATGGGGGAGGAGGCAGTTATAGGCCATAGTAAGGACTGGTTTGGGGTACCCATTGCTGCATACAAACCATCTCACAACTTAGTAGCTTAAACAACACTATTTTATGATCTCTCAAGATTCTGTGTGTTCAACAGATTCAGGGGACTGGTTCTTATGCTCATGTGATGTCATATGGGAACTCAAGTGGGCAGGAATATCATGTGACTCACTCACATGATGTTGTCCAATATAGGAGTAGTTGGTGCTAGCTGTGGGCTGGAGGTTTGGCTGGGGCTATCAGCTGGAGGGAGCACCTACATGTGGCCTCTCCATGTGGCTTTGGCTTCTTCGGCCAGGGGACTGGGGTCCAGGTGCACACTTTCCATAACTGAGTATTCAAGAGGGGGAAGAGGAAGCTGGCCCTCTTGAGAGCTAGGTCCCAAACTGGTACAGCGTGATTTCCCCATGTTCTCTCGGTTATAGCAGTTGCTGGACCAGCTCAGAATGAGGAGAAATAAACTCCACCTGTTGAAGGGCAGAGTAACCATCTTTAATCTTCCACAGTCTTTTCCTTTTACCCTGAGTAAGCTGAGATGCCATTGGAGGGATACGAGCAGGGAAGTAAGTGAATCTGATTCACATTTTGGGATTATCATGGCTGCAATACAGAGAAGAAACCACTAGGGGCAGGGCCAAAGCTCTCTGGGAATGGGATGGTACAGCAGATCTGAGATGGCCATCACGTCCAAAGCAGGGCCCTGGCAGCAAGGTTTGTCCCACTGACAATATGATGAGGATGAATGTGGCTATTCAAACTTAAATTTAAAGTAATTGAAATTTAAAAACCTTAGAATCCAGTTTCTCAGTGATGCTAGCCACATTTCAAATGTTTAATAGCCAAATATGGCCAGGGGTACTGTATACCAGAACAGATATAGAACATTCCCATCTTTGCAGAAACTTCTATTGCACAGCATTGGCTTAGATCTTCTCATCTCCTAACAAGGTTCTACATTTAGAATCTTTAACCACAACATCCCACACTCTGACCTCAGAATCCCTTCCTTCCCATCACCTATTTTTAGATTCCATTGAGCTACTCAGTCTAGAATCTGCGCATCTTCTCCAGCCATTGCTTCCTCTCCTGGGCTGCCTTGGTGTCCTTCCCCACTGACCCAGCCTCCATCCTACGGTTCACCATGGAATCTTCTCTCTTCCCTACTCTATGCATCCCCCACTCACTCCATCCTTCTGCTCCACTTGTCCAGGAAAACCCCCGAACCCCATTTCTCTGACACTGCCAAGTCACAGCCATGCAGATCATGGCCTCAGAGCCATGAAAGCAAATTCAGATTCTGCCACATCATGACTGAGTGACCTCAGGCAAGTGACTTACCCTCCCAAGACCCAGGGTTTATCATCTTTGAGATGGGAATTATGATAACTCCTCTCTCATAAAGTTACTGAGAAGATAAATTATCCTGGCACATAGTAACACTCAATAAATGACATTCATACCATCATCATTGTTATTATTGATTCTTCCATATCTTTACCACCCTTTAAAAAATTGTGATAAAATATACATAAAATTTATCATTAGTGACATTTAGTACATTCATAACATTGTACAACTACCACCACTCTTTAGTTCTAGAATATTTTCATCACCCTCAAAGGAAAACCATTAAGCAGTCACTCCTCATTCCTCCCTTCCCCCAACCCCAAGGAATCAATAATTTGTTTTCTTCTATGGATTTTCCGACTCTGGATATTATATATATATACATATTTATGGAATTAGACAGTATTTGATCTTTTGTGTCTGCTTCAGCACACTTTTTAAGCCTCCTGTATAACTAAAACCTTCTTCTTTCTCAACAGAGAATGCCTCTTGTTTATTTCCAGAGTATTAGTTTTATCTGATGTCATGTCATCAACTTCTTCCCCTCCTCCCCCTATAAACTAATGTAATAGTTATATTAGGAACACTAATGACAATTTATTGAGTTCTTACTTTGTTCCAAGTGCTTTGCTGAATGTCTTATATGAACATCTCATTTCACTCTTATAGCCCCTCTGAGAAGTAACTGCTAACACTATCTCTATTTTACAGTCAGGGAGACTGAGACTTAGGTTAAATCATGTAAGCAGCAAGTGACAGAGCCAAGATTCAAACCTGGTTCTTTTTGAGTCCTGAGTTCAACTCACAAGCACCACACTGTATCTCTTCTCAGAAGCCACCCTCCTCACCTTCCCCAGGTCTCAGAGGATCCTGGATCCTTCCTGTGCCAACTCAAGACCAGCTCGTCCTCCTGTACACTCAACTCCATCCCTTCCCATCACCTCCCTAACCTTATCCATCCCCTCTCTGTATCAGCGGAGGTGAAGCTGATCTTGACAACTGGACTGGAATCATCTGGTCCTTTTTCACTTACGTGTCTGATGCCTGAACTGGGATGACTCAAAGGCCAAGCTCAGCTGGGACCGTGGTGGCTTCGCATGGGTGCTCAGCATGCTTTTTGCTTCCTCACAGCAGGGCAGCCTCTCAGTAGACAGGCTTTTGCTGGTGTCTCCAGGAGTCAGAGTTCCAGGAGAAGCGCATGCCCTTTTCTGTCCTAGCCTTGGAACTCGGAGCAGCTCTTCCGCTATACTCTATTGGTTGAAGCAGTTACCAGCTCACCGGAGGTACAAAGACAGGGTACAGAGATCCTACCTCTCTGCAGTTGAAAAATTTGAAGCCATGTTATTAAACTACCATAGGTTGTTTCCAATCTTTTGCTATTCCTGTAGCGCATGGTACCCCCTAACGTCTCTTGGGTCTGTCCATTTCTCTGCAAGCCCATCTCTGGTACGGAGCCTCCTCGCTGATCTCTCTCCTGTCACTCTGGAGCTTTCTATCCTGATTTCCTGAGGGATCAGGAGCCAGAAGGATCTTTTCAGAGTGTAAGTCAGATATGTCCCTCCCCTCTTTATGACCCTTCCATAGCTCCCCACCACTCAGGTTGAAGTCTAAATGCCTTACCTTGGCTTATGGGGCCATAAAGCATCTCACAGATGCTTGCCTCTCCAGCTTCATTTCTTGTCACCACTCAAACCTTTAGGTTTGAGCCCCAGCACTTCCTCCCACCTCCCTCTCTTTCTGTCTCTGTCTCTCTCTCTCACATAGACACATACACACACACACACACATGGTTAAATAGCACATATAAAGCACTTAGACAAACCCTTTGCACATAATTGGAATCAGATATTTACTATTATTAGTCTGTATTTAGTATATATTTATCAAGCTGCATACTCACTGCCAAACACCATACCATGTGAGGCTCAGGGATACAACAGTGAATAAAAAATGCAAGATGGCCCCATCTTGCCGAGTTCATTCATCCCTGCACCCTCACCCCTAGTGCAAGGAGAGACAGAATGGATGCTCAAGGCATAAAGGCATGTTTGTGCAATGGTATCTGATGAAGCTCAAAGAGGTGTGGTGACTTTCCCAAGACCACACGGGCACATGTGGGACAAAATGAAGGCTGTGGGCACATGTCAAGGATGAAGCAGACACAGCTGCCTGGCAAGCGCTAGCTCTGCAGGGAGATAGGCCATAGGCCCACGCTACCCAGGAAGATGTATAGTAGGTTGGGAGCAAGAACAAGGGAGGCTGTCTCATCTTTCCAGAGGGGAAAGGTATCTTCTCTCCCACACCTCTCCCCATAACTCCCTTGTCAAGGTAAGTGAGGCTGATCCTGAGCAAGGGTGAGAGAGTGGAGGGAGGATGGAGAGACTCAGCAAGAAGGTAAGAGTTTCAAATCAGATCCTGGTGCCAGCAGGAGGGGACTTCCCTGTAAAGACCCAGTGAGAGTGAGGTGGGCCTCACCCATGGGTGGGCACTCAGCTCGGAGGCAAACATTTGTATATTGGGGTGGGGGCTTCACGAGGGGAATGGAGATCCAGAGAAGGGACTGAGGACTCCGTGAGGAAATGAATGTTCAGGGCAGGCAAGGGTCTTCAGTCAGCTGGTGGAGATTAAGGGAGGGATGGCAGGGTCGCCTGAGGAATCTGAAAGATTGCGTGAGGTAGGTCCAGGGAGGTGGTGGGGTCTCCGCAAGGGGCTTGGGGTCTCAGAGAGAGAAGGGAGCTCTGGAAGGGGACAGAGGCTCGCGATCCTGCGGGGGTCCGCAGTCTGCAGAGCCGGCTCTTGGGGCAGGCCGGCGCTCCCCTTCACTCCCCCTGCCGGAGCCCCCGCCCCACCCCCGCCCCCGACTGCGGCGCAGGCGCCGAGCTAACGCGCTTTTGCTAGGCTAGCGCTCCGGCTCCCGCACGGCGGAGACAGCAGGCAGAGAGGTGAGCTCAGCCCTGCTCCCCGCGCGGCGCGACCCCACCCCGCCCTCTCCGGGGCTCCGGGGAACCCCCCCTACCTTCCTGCATCCCCAGCCCGGGCCGTGACCCTCCTCAAGCAGGACGGCGGCGCCAAAGCCCTGGTGGGCTTCGGGCTTTGGGAGGTGGGGTCGCAGGGAAGGGGCAGGGGACAGAGATCTCACCAGTCCCTTCGCCTCGAAACACCTTAGGGTTGATAGGATGGGTGGAGGCGTCAAATGACAAGACCCCCCATCCACCTCCCTATTAAAATCCCATTCCCGCCTTTCTGTGCCTGTCTCCCTCTAGGGAAAAGATGCAGTTAATCTCGACGAGGGAACGGGTAGTTGGGTCAGAAAAAGTGGCGCGGTGTGGGGCGGAGGGAACAGATAGATTTCCCTGGCCTCACCCCCCAGGAGAGCGCCTCCTGGGGCCTGGGCAGCGCTGGACGATGCAGTGGGCGGGTCTGGGGTCCTGGACGGGAAAACTGAGGGAGACCGTGCAAAGGCGAGGGCTTCCATCCATCTTCAGGCCCTTGCGCCTGTCACTTTCCCGACGCCTGCCTCTGCTTCGCAGCAGTCACCCACTCCGGACCCGGGAACCCCCTCCTCTTCCATCTCCCTTTCACCGAGCTCCTCCCGCTCCCGCCTAGAGACACCTCCCCGGCAGTTTCTATGGCAACCCACTTCCCGGTGCCCGCTCCGGGTCTTCAGCATCCTCTCCCTCCCTTCCTTCGACCGCCAGACCGCCTCCCAATTTCTCTAAAATGGGAGGAGGAGGGGCCAAGCCAAGGGGAAGGCAACGTCAAGGTCACCTTCTCCAGTGCCAGCAGGATTGAGGGATTATGTATATTTGGGGGAGGGGACCAGTGAATTCCGGGGGAGCAGCTATCCCAGGCCGACAATCCCTAAACCCTCTCCCCACCCCCTGCCCTAGGGTCTTTAATTAGCTGTCGCTGCACTCACTACGACTGCCCCGCGGGCCCCCATTCATTCTCCGGGCCCTGCCTCCCGAGCGCCCCGGCCGGGGGCGGTTCCCGCACAGGCCGCACACTCCGCGGAGCCCCGCCCACCTTCCGGAAGCTCCTGCTCTGTGGCCAGACCTCTCACCCGCTTTCATGTCTTTCGGGTTCGGTCTCCGCCTTTTCTCATTCTGTATTAAAAACAAAAACATTATTGTCTTCTTCCCCCTGAGTTGTGGGTTAGGACTGTGGAGAATCGCTCCCAAAATACACTGTGTGTGTGTGTGTGGTATGTTTTCCTGTGTTTGTGTGTGGTATGTTTTCCTGTGGCCTGTATGGCCTGTATGTGGTGTGTCTGTATTTCTCTGTGCTGCGTGTGTGGTATATATGTGTCTGTCTGGGTGTGTCTCTGGTGTTTTTGTGTTTGTGTTGTGTGTCTCGGGTGTGTGTGTGTATGTGCGTCTGTATATGTCTCTATGCTGTGCTTGTGTTATGTGTGCTGGTGAGTCTCTCTAAGGAATGGAGGGCACCACATTTAATTGGAAATGAGAGGCTACTAGAAATTTGTCTTACCCTTCAGTGTAAGCGCATTGCTTTATTTTGTTTGAAGATGGCTCAGAGGGGATGAGGGCCATCCTGATGTCCAGCAACCCAGTCCTTCCCCACATCCCTCTCCCACTCTGGTTTTAGTCCTACCTGTGGGTGGATAACAAGCACCTGCCATTCCTGAGGTCTCAGTGTCTCCATTTGTGAAAAGAGAGGCTCTTAAAATTGTTGATTACCAGAGGTGGGGGTGGGCAAAATAGGTGCAGGGGGTCAAAAGGTACAAATTTCCAGTTACAAAATAAATAAGTCGCAGGGAGATAAGGTGACTATCGTTAACATGGTGACTATAGTTAACAATACTTTATTGTATCATTGACTGTATGAGGGTAGATCTTAAAAGTTCTCATCACAAGAAAATAATTTTTTGTAACTATGTGCAGTGATGAATATTAACTAGACACTGTGGTGATCATTTTGCAACATATACAAATATGCAATCACTATGTTCTACACCTGAAACTAACAAAATGTTGTTTGTCAATTACCTCAATAAATATTTAAAAAAAGAGAGGTTTCTCTAGAAATCTAACAGCCCTTGAACCCAAGAACCCCTAATCCTGAGGGCCCCTGACTTTCTCCTAATGTGGAGTCAAGATTTCTTGGGATTTGTCGGTTGTTGCCTTGTGAGGGGCAGCCCTGGGGAAGGCTCTGTTAGGGCCTTGCAGCTTGGGGACCTCTGCCTGATTGGACAAATGTCAGTTACCTCCAAGCCTACCTGGAAAGGAGGGAGATTTGGAGAGGTGATGGGGATGACGGCCTCTCACTCTAGACACAGGGCTCAAAAAGTTCAGGATAAAAATAATAATGAAGAAATTACCATAGTAATAATCCCAACAGGTCCTATTTCTCAGCAGCAGACCCAGTGGTGTGTGAAGCAGGTGTGATTATTAGCCCTGTTCCACGGAGGAGAAACTGAGGCTTACAGAGGTGAAAGCACTTGTCTGAGTTTACACAGCCAGGAAGGGGTGGAGCTGGGATTCCAATCCAGGCAGTCAGGCTCCACAATCCACAGTCCCTGCCACTGGGTGGCCTCTAGACTAAACAAGCACATTTATTGACACCTACAATTGTCAGGCTCTGGGCTAAGCACTTTTGATCATTGGCTCATTCGCAGTGTACTTAGTGAAACACAGGCCAGGCCTCCAGAAGACCAAGCTGTACTATGAGTACAGGGTGTCTAAAATGAGAGAAGTGGATTGGTTGCAAAGTTCAGGGGCCCTGGGAGGGTCACCACAGGCAGCTCTCACTGACTCGTCCCTCTGTCCCCTGCACCTTGATTATCCCACAGGGATCCATGATGCCGAGCTGCGAACGCTCCTGCGGCTGTAGCCGTGGCCCCAATGTGGAAGATGGCAAATGGTATGGGGTCCGCTCCTATCTGCACCTCTTCTATGAGGACTGTGCAGGTACCGCCCTCAGTGATGACCCTGAAGGGCCTCCCATCCTGTGCCCCCGCCAAGCCTGGCCCTCACTGTGCTGGAAGGTAAGGACCAAGTAAGAGCAACTCCTGTGATTTCTTGTGGCTTCTGGGAGGAGATGGGATCAGTGGATGGAAAGGAAAGGGGTGGCATAGTAGTTAGGAGTCTTGCACATTCAAGCAACCTCAAACCCAACTCAAATGTATTTCCAGGGAAAATATCGTTTGTTTTATAGAAGAGACCAGAGGTTTGTGCCTTCGGGTAAAGTTCAGTCCAGCAGTTCAAATCATCACACTGAGGACTCAGGATTTCTCTTAGTCTTCAGGCTACACATGGTGTCCCTACCCTTGTAGCCCCTGTTAGCCTCAGGCTCTCGCCACATGTTCCCCAGAAGGCTGCCACCATGCTGACCCTAGTCTTTCACTTCCCACCATCTAAGGGAAATCGGGATTTCTTCCCACATTTCCTTCAGAAAAGAAACAATTCTCTTCAGTTCCAAAAGTCCTGTCAAGCACTGTATTGGCTCTGATTGGGTCACTTGCCCAGCCCTGAACCAATTACTGTGGCCGAGGGGATAGTATACACCAATTAGCAAGAAGTAGGGTTCATCCCACTTAAGTCTTACTGTGGCTTCACAATGATATATTGGGAGTATTGTTGCCTGGGTGGTGAAGACATGAGAGAAACAATCAATGCCAATACCAGCCAGTAAAAGTGGTCAGGGTGCATTGTGGGGATAAGGTGTGGAGTTGGCAGTGAGCTGAGTTCCTAAAATGGGCATAGCTTTTGCTAAATACTGTAAGGAGACTAAGGCAGAGGGTCCCTCCCTCTCTGCTTTCAAAGTGCTTCACTCTAGTGGGGAGGGGAGGTGCTAACCTGTACATAATGAATGCACAGTCTTAGGCTAGGTGTGCAGAGGATGTCAGGAGAGGAGAGGAAATGCTGTCCGTGAAGACTTCTAGGAGAAAGTGAGTATGTATTTTTTGCCAGGAAGTGTGATTGGCTCTTGGGGACACAGAATTTACGAAGACATGGTCCCTGTTCTCAAGGAGTGACTAGCTGTGGTTCATCAAGTCATTCTGCAAACATTTGCTCAGCTACTACTCTGTACCAGTGCTGTACTAGGTGTGGAAGACACCTAGTGAGCCAAAACAAACAGTCTCTGCTCTCATGGCTCTCGGGGCTCTCAGGGCTCTCAGTCCAGTGGGGCAACCAAATATCACTTACATAGTAACCAAAGTACACATCTAAGTGTGCACCAAGGTGAATGCACTGAAGAATGAATGGGCACAACATTTGCATGAGTGTGGAGCCGGGGACCTGACCCAGTCTAAGGGCATCTGGGGAGGCTTCCCTGAAGAGGTGAGGTTTGAGATGAGATCTGAGGGATGTGTAGGAGTTAACCTGACAGAGAGCTAGAGGGTAGATGGGACATGGGGATAGGACGGGACCCAAATGGTAATGGAGGGGGACTCAGGTTTGGCAGAAGAAACCTCCTGCTAGGTGGGAGCTGGGAAGGAGATTAATCAAGGGGCCTCAGTATTCCAAATAGAACACGATAGTTTGTGCCCTTTCTCAGTTAGATCTTAGAAGGTATGTTTTGTGATTTTCAACTCTTAAGGTTGGACCAAGTGGTTCCCTTTAAGTCCGTTTGGAATCCAAGGTGATCCCTTGGCCTGGGGACCCCGGCTGACCCTGACTGCTTGCCAATCTGTCTGCCTATCTCTAGATCAGCCTGTCTTCCGGGACCCTCCTTCTGCTGCTGGGTGTGGCCGCCCTGACCACTGGCTATGTGGTGCCTCCCAAGCTGGAGGGCATTGGAGAGGGTGAATTCCTGGTATTGGATCAGCGGGCAGCTGACTACAACCGGGCCCTGAGCACCTGCCGCCTGGCAGGCACAGCCCTCTGTGCGGCAGCCGGGATTCTGCTGGCCATCTGCCTGTTCTGGGCAACGACCGGCTGGCTGAGCCAGGACACCAAGGCAGAACCCCTGGAGTCTGAAGCTGATGGCCATGTGGAAATCTTTGGGGATGAGCCAGAGCAGCACCTGTCCCCAATCTTCCGAGACACCAGTGGCCAATCTTGGTTCTCACCACCCACCAGCCCCTTTGGCCAATCTTCAGTGCAGACCATCCAACCCAAGCGGGACTCTTGAGCTTTCCACATGGCCTGAGGAGGAGCCAGCCCTGGGGTCTGGACCCTCTCTCTGCCCCACTACACCTGCCTTCCTATTGTCTCCCTAACTTCTCTCTTCCTTCTAACCCCCCAGAAGGCCTAATTCTAGGTCAGACAGTCTAGAGCTCAATTCCCCCTGCCCCTTCTCCAGAGATAGGACCCCAACTCACCCAAGATGCCAGCTTTTCCCAGGCCCTCCCCAAACTTCCCACCCTCTTTCAGGGGCAGATAACATCTCCCTCAATCTATCCCTACTCTCCTCGTGTGACTGTGGATAAGCCCTTTCCCCTCTCAGATCATCAGCTCCTGTGTCTGTACTATGAGGGGTTTTTGGACCAGATTCTAGAGTTCCCTGACTTTCTTATTCTTCCAGGATATAAACATTCCCCTCCATAGGCAAAGGTCAGTGGGGGGAGAGGTGGGGAGTTCCTTCTCATCTACTGACCCCTCCCTTTGCCAGCTGCACTAGGATACCTCTGGATGGATCAAAAATGCTCACTTGGACTTCCCTTTCAGGATGGTGTGAAGACATTACTACAACCAGGACACCCCCTGCAGGATGTGTTCTACCCACATTCTGGTCAGAGTTCCTCAGTGCCTCCCATTATGGACTGTTATTAAGCCCCACTTTACAGATGAGATGACTAAGAGAGGCTGGCATTCTGCAGGATCTCTGACCCAAATCTTCAGACTCCTTCCGGGAGAGCCCTTGTTCTACAGCTGGAGCAGGGCCCTGTACCTTCCTGGCTTCCAGGGGATCCCAGGGGTGGGGGACAGGGTCAACCCAGAGAGACTAGCTGGAGGCTAGATGGCTCCAGGGAGTGCATAAGATATTTAGGCATGCATTTAAATGGTCTCTAAGAGCCAGGGGACAGGAGAACTGGGATGTCCTTGCTCCTCAGAATCTGCCCACCTAGAAACCATCATCCATAGGTCCTCACCTTATTCTGTAACAAACGTGTCCCCCTGAAGGCACCAGCGCCACCACCCTGCAGGCTCCCTGGACAGACACAGCACCTCAGTTCTCTACCACTAGGGGGAGCTCCAAAATAGCTGGAGATTGGCTCTCCCACCTGTCTGGACCCTTCCGCTGTTTCACCACCAGAGTTGGAGGGGCTTCCTGGGAGAGTCCCCAGTCCTCTCCACCAGGCAGGCCCTACCGCCCTTTGCCCGGTGCCCCTTCTCATTCTGCACCCCTTTCACCCCACTTTCCCTTTCAATAAACAGCTGGGATGGATACTGTCTGTCTTTTCTCCATGACCACTGGGGCATGGGGGATGGGTGGAGACTGTTAGGAGCCCCTACTGTGTGCTGTGCACTTAAATTCATTCTTCCTCATTTGCTCCTGAAGATAACCCATTGAGAAAGAGGACTATTGTACTATTATCTTCATTTTACAGATCATATAACTAATGGTCAGAGAAGTGAAGCCTAAGGCTTTCCCCAGGTGGACTGGAATGCTAGCCTGATGGGAAAGAAATTTCTCGACCTATTGCCCCCATCTCTGAGAGGCCTGAGGGATGTGGGGGAAGTGGGGGAGGTTTCTGGGAGAGATTGCTGGAGCCAAAGGTGAGATCTTGTCCAAGATGATAAAAACAGCTAACCCCTTTTGGCACTAGGCAGGCGCCTAGCCCTGGTCTCAGTGACTTAGAGATTCCTCACAACAACCAGTGACTTGGGGACTATCCCCAAACCTTGATTCCAGACTCCAGGCTTGCATCTCCAACCGCATTCACCGGCATGCTGAATCTCAGCCCAACCGTCCCAGACTGTTCTTGTCACCCATCCCACTCCGGTCTCTGCCCTCCTTTGCTGTTGGCACCTTAGTGGCAGCTCCAGCCACCTGGCTGCCCCAGCCAAACCCTGGAATCATTCTTGACCCCTCTCTTTCCTCACACCCTGAATCCAATCCTTCAGCTTTTCCTCAACCTTGGAAATACATCCTGTACCCAACCACTTCTTGCTGACCTCAAGGCTAGCTCCCTTGCATGAACCACTGTCACCTCACCTCCCTTCTGTATTATTACATCAGCTTCTCCCTGGTCTCTAGCTTCCCCCTTCCGTGTACTGCCCACTCCCACCCCAAGTATAATCTTTACAGAGCAGCCAGCCAGATCCCATTATAACATGAATTAGGCTGTGTCCCTCCTCTGCTCAGAATCCTTCACGGCTCCCGCCTCAGAGGAAAAGCCAAAATCCATTCTGTTGCCTACAAGGCCCTACATGATTTACTGACACCCCCTGCCTCCCACTTTCCGGCCGGCCGTGTGACCTCGGTTCTCCCCCTTCCTGTCTCCTGTCCAGCCAGACTGGCTTTCTTATTGCTCCTCCCACATCAAGCCTGGCCTGCCCCAGGGTCTTTGAGAAGCTGTTAACCTCTGCTGGTGTGCTTTTTCCCAGGCCCTCTCTTGGTCAGTCCCCTCACATCCAAGTCTTTTTGCATAAATGTCACTTTCTCAGCAAGGCCTTCTCTGAGCAGCCTATTTTATTTTATTTTTAAAATTTTTAATTGAAGTATAGTCAACATATTATATTAGTTTCAGGTGTACAATGTAGTGATTCAACAACTATATACATTACAAAATGCTCACCATGATAAATGTAGTTACCATCTGTCACCATACAAAGATATTAAAATATTGTTGACTATATTCCCTATGCAGCACTTTTCATTCCTGTGACTTATTTATTTTATAACTGGAAGTTTGTACCTCTTAATCCCCTTCACCTATTTTGCTTATTCCCCACCTCTCTCCTCTGGCAACTACCAGTTTGTTCTCTGTATTTATGAGTTTGCTGCTTTTGTTTTTGTTGTTTGTTTGCTCATTTATTTTGTGTTTTAGATTCCACATATAAATGAAATCAAATGGTATCTCTGTCTGACTTATTTCACTTAGCATAATACCCTCTAGGTTCATCTATGTTGTCTTAAACAACAAGATTACTTTTTTTATAGCTGAGTAATATTCCATTGAGAATATACCACATCATCTCTATTCATCTGTTGATGGAAACTTACGTTGCTTCCATATTTTGGCTACTGTAATTAATGCTTCAATAAACAAAAGGGTGCATATATCTTTTTTAATTTGTGTTTTTGTTTTTTTTCAGGTAAATATCCAGAAATGGAATTATTGAATCATCTGGTATTTCTATTTTTTATTTTTTGAGGAAACTATACTGTTTTCCATAGTGGCTGAAAAGCCTATTTTAAAATAAAACCATGTCCCCATTTCCCATTCCCTGTGCACTTTGGATTTTGGTTTTTGCTTTCCTATAGCATTTATCACCTTTTAATGTACTATATAATTTACCTATTTGATGTATTATTGTTATTACACATCTACCTCTGCCACAATATGATCTCCACAGAACAAGGATCTTTGCTTGCTTTGTTTACTAGCATATCCCAAGTATCTAGAACAGTGCTACCACACAGTAGGTGCTCAATAAAAGTCCATTGAATAAATCAATCCTAATTGTACAGATGAGGACAATGAGGCTTAGTGATGTTAAGCAATTTACCTGAGGATGCACAAGTAGTAAGTGGCAGAAGTCAGATTCAAATGCAGGCTGTCAGGTTCCAGAGTCTGTGGCCTGAGCCACTAACTACATTGTCCCTTGGTTTGAATCCCAGGACTGGGGACACATTATCAACTGCAAACAAATGTATCCAAATGTTTGTTGTCACAGGGAAACATAAGCACACTGTTAATAGAAACTTTTTCCAAAGAAGTTAGGAATTCAAGTTTTTATGTAATATGTATCCATTTTTAAAACATTAGTATCTGTTTCAAAATGTGACTAGGTACTGTGCAAGACAAAATATTGCCAGGGACAGCTTCAACACATGAGCAGCTTGTGTGACCTCTGGCCTGGACACTCTGGGTTGGTGCACACAACTGATCAGGACAGGGGTAGAATTTCACATTGACGAGGAGGCCCAGAACATGGAAATAAACCTCTACCCCAGAATATTTTTGTCATATTAGGTTTCCTTCCCAATTTCCACAGCAGAATCCAACCTTTGTCTGTAACCCTAATAAATCTCAGGCTTCCACACAGTCCAGTCCCTGTAGAGCATCCCATTTCAGAGAAGCAGAATCCAATATCAAAAATTAATTCCAAATAATGACAACTGTCACTCAATCCTTGAAAAATATCAGAGGTTCAGTTTCACTTTCATACATTGCTAGTGGGATATGTACTGGTTTGAATACTGTTTCCCAAAAGTTTGTGTCCACCTAGAATCTGTGAACATGACCTTATTTGGAAAATGGGGTCTTTCCAGGTATAATAAAGTTAAGATGAGGTCATATTGGATTAAGATAGGCCCTAATCCAGTGACTGGTATCCTAATAAGAAGAGGGAAATTTGGACATGAAACACACAGAGGGAAAATAGTCATATGAAGATACAAGCAGAGACTGGAGTGATGTGTCTACAAGTCAAGGAACACCAAGGGTTGCCTGTAAGCACTAGAAGCTAGAAGAGGCAAAGAAGGATTCTCCAGCCTTCATAGGAAGCATGGCCTTGCCAATACCTTGATTTCAGACTTCTGATCTCCAGAGCTGTAAGACAATGGATTTCTGTTGTTTTAAGCCACCTATATCATGGCACTTTGTACAGCAGCTCTAGGAAATAATACATGGCATAAACTGGTACAGCCTACAAAAGAGGATATTGTTGGGCAATATCCAGTAGAAAATACGGATGCCCTTTGATCCTTCCCTCTTGTGCAGGGTATCTGTAGGTTAAATTCTACACATTGGAACACTGCAGCATTGTTTCCAACAGAAAACATTTGGAAACAACCTAAGTGTTCATTTGGCAGGGATTAGTCAATAAAGAATAGCATAAGAAAAATTCTTAATCACAATATAAGCTGGTCACGGAGATGGTAGTACAGCATGGAGTATATAGCCAATGATTCTGTAACATCTTCCTATGTTGACAGATAGTAACTGCACTAGTTGGGGTGAGGATTTAATAATGTGGGTAACTAGTGAACCACTTTGTTGTATACTTGAAAATCTAATTTAATCCTCAAAAAAACACAATAAAGCATGGCACAGTCCATACTGACACAGGATGTAATAGAAGGAGAACGTTCTTATGTACTGATGTAGATTAATCTCCAAGTTATGTTGTTAGGAGAAGAGGTGCAAGGTACAGAATACTATTAATACTTTCAACCCATTTATGTAAAAGGAATATTTATGGACATTGCTTGTACATACATAAAATCTCTATTGACTTTGTTTGCCTTTTGGTAGGAGACTAGGACCTGGGTGGCTAGGAATAGGGGTGGAGAGAGACATACCACATATTCCACCCATTTTAAATTTTGAACCATGTGGAATGTATTATATTTTTTAAAATAATTAGCTTTAAATTTTAAAAAAAGAATATACAGTTGACCCTTAAAGAACACAGAATTGAACTGCACCAGTCCACTTATATGTGGATTCTTTTCAATATCTATACTGGAAAAAATTTTTTAAACATTTGCCACAATTTGAAAAAAGCTTTCTTTTCTCTAACTTAATTTGTTGTAAGAATACAGTGCATAATACACATAATATACAAAAAATTGGTTGTTTATATTATCGGTAAGCCTTCTGATCAGCAGTAGGGTATTTATGAATAATTTAAGTTTGGGGTAAGTCAAAAGTATATGCAATTTTTGACTGCACAGGGGCGTCAGTGCCCCTAAACCCTGTGTTTTTTAAGGATCACCTGTAATTGACTGAACACATTTAACAAATGGGGGAGAAGGGCCAAATCTTCTTTACAGAAGAATTCTAATTAATACAGAGCATTGATAGAAATAGAAAAATCACCCCTTGCATGGCACAGCAATAATTGCAGCAGACAAAATCCACCTATGAATGATGATATTAGTGAGTGAAACTTTATGGTGAAAGAGGATATTTGCATAGCCTTAAAGTATCTCTGGCCCAAATATTGATGAATTTCTGGGGGGTTTTAACATGTGTCACAAGTTCTTTGATGCTCCACCTCCTGGCAGTAAGGCTTACTCCCTTCTCCTTGAGTGTGAGCTGGACTGAGCAACCGGCTGCCCTCCAATAGCACGTGGAAAGGGCAAGAGAGAGACTGCGCAGTGGAGAAATCTGTCAGGCACCACCCTAACCATATGATCACGGTTTGCGCCACCAGCAGCAAGCCTTGTCATTATCATGAACCCCTGAAATGACATGATGAGTGCATTTCACCTGTGTGGGGTGTTCTTCCCCATCATGGGAAAACCATGGGCAAACCCAAATCGAAGGACATGCTACAAAACATCTGACCATCACTCTTCAAAAGTGTTAAGGTCACAAAAGACAAGGAAAGGCTGAGAACTGTCACCAACTGGAGGAGAATAAGGGGACATGGCTGAAGGGTATATAGGAACTCTCTGTACTGTCTTTGCCCCTCTTCCACAAATCTACAATTATTTGTTTTTTAGAAGTTGAAAAAGACCATTGTCTGGTCAAGATGGAGTAACAGGAATCAGATTCCCCGCCCCCCACCTGAAAGAACCAAAAGATGGCCCAGGAAACAGATGAATGGCAGGAGCCCTACAGGCCCCGGCTGACCTCCCTGAGGGTTTTCAGGCCTCAGCAGAGGTTTAAGCACTCTCTCCACACATCATGAAACAAGTCGACAGAAAATCAGTAGAGTACAGAGGATTTGAACAACACTATCGTCCAACTTAACCTAGTTGACATAAAAAGGGCACGCCACCCAACCAGAGCAGAATACACAAGGCCTGGGACCTTGCTGGCCCTTGGAGGCCCCAGGGACACACAGGGCCCAGACACAGAACCCATAGCTGCCTCAGGGTGCCCTCTAGTGTTCTTTTGAGGTTTTGGCAGCTCCGTATTTGACAGCTTCCCTACCTTAGAGGGCAGCTGCTTCCATTGTTAGCCTGCATTCCCTCCCCTCTCTGAGATGGGGAGACCTGAGAGAGGCAGAAGGGCTGGGTCCATCTTTTGCTTTACTCCTGTTTGTCCCAGAGCCTGAGCCCCCAGCCCCCCATGACCCGGAGGCTGCCCCTCCCTCCTGCTGAGTCCTGCATACCCTCTCCCATCCTTGCTGACCCAGGGGACTAGGTTATTTCTCAAACTCAGCTTCAGAGGAGCTCCACCACCTCACCTCCAACTGGATCAAAGAAGGGGTGATCTGGGGCTACTGCCTGGCCTCTGGAGGAACTGTGCCAGGATAAGAAACTGAGATGCCTCAGGGTGAGAAAGAGAAACAAAGGGATACTCATGTGGTTGGGGGAGGTGTTCATGGGATGGTGAGGGAGACAGCACCATCTGTGGGGAGTCCAAGAGCAGACTGTCAGCCACATTCATGCCCCAAACTCTTGGTCCCAAATTTTATGTTGAGAGTGGGCCGAGAGGGCAGCAGTATGCCAGGGTTCTAGTCACTGTGAGCTTGGGCAATTTCTTAACCTCTCTGAGTCTCAGTTTCTTAGTCTCTAAAATAGAGACAATAAGG